AAAAGAAAATAAATTAATTTTTTTTTTGCGACTTTATTGTATGGCCAAACTCAGGGAATGTTGGATTCCCTTGTGTCCTATGCAATTATTCTGTGCACCATAAATATGGGTGCACCCATTAAATTTAATTCTCAAGGCAGGGAAAGAAATAAAAAAATAAAAAAATTGTATTATCATTTCATATGAGTTCAGAGGGATAATGACAAGATTATGTTGTACTTACCCCAAGACTACAGTTTTCCATGCATAAGATGGCTATGTAATGACTGACTGGACCCATGTAAAGATATATGTTGATTGTTTTGTCGGGGCATTGGTTTTTGTCTTGATTAGTGTTAAAAGAATTTGAAATCCTAATGGAATACTAGGAGATTCTCAAATATAAGAAATTTTTACTTCTCTAAAAATAATTAGTTAACATGTTTTGATTTTTTTTAAAATTAAAATTAACTTAATTAATCCATTTATTCTATTTTGAGTTAGTTTGAATACTATAGATATGAAAAAATGTGTGGTTGTGGTATGTTTGTGTTTCACTATCATGTTTTTATGTCATTTAATCCTATATATCAACACTCAATTTGTTTAGTATTAAGTTGTGTTTTTCAATATATTGTCTGTATTTTATCTCTCGCACTGCGTGTGGAGATGAAATCTAATTTTTTTTTACTTCATTCGAGAGTAAAGTAAACTCTACACTATAATAGAGATAAGAATCAAACATGGTCTAAATGCATTTAGAAAAAATAAAAAGTTTAGCAACTTTCTTTCCTTTTGTCAAATATTTTAAATCATATATTTAAGTATTAGTTTCCAAGTGATCATTCCTTTTATTTATGCTTTAATTATTTTTCTATATAATTAATTTATTCTCTTTATTCATAATATAATCTTAAATAAATATAATTGGAATATTTTTCTGAGATGACAAATAATTAGCAACGAAATATCAAACTAGAAACTTCAATTATAATATAAACGAATGGAGTACTAATTATAAATTTTAAACAATTTTTTTAATTTCATATTTTGAATCATACTATGTCCATTATGCCACATGTTTTTATATTTTTTTTTTCAAGTAACAAACACTATAACTAAATGTGACCACCCTAGATATAGAACACTAATTAAAGAATCTTCTTGTATATATATTTTTTTATTTGTCTATCTTTTTACAATTTTATCCATCGTGGGTTTAACTTAAAGTTCGTAAAAAAAAAATATTCTTTTCTTGACGAGCACCTGACCCGTGACAGGGCATGCTTAGCTATAGTCAGTCTCCTTTGGCACAGCACAAAAGCCTCACTTTCAACTTTCCCTTTGTGAAAAAAATATGAGAACCCTTTGGCAAACCTATACAAAGAAACCCAGTTATTCGCCTTGAGATTTGAGATACCAATTTGAATGCTTTCAGAAAACAAGAAAAAACAAGCATCAAACCAGTTTTTTAGCTTCATTTTTCATCAATGGCAACAAGAACGTATATGGAAATGGAAAAATCACTCTCAGCCATCATATTTATGTGCTTTTTTTGCCCAGCCATTGGTTTGCTCTCACCCAAAGGTGTGAACTTTGAAGGTAAAAATCACAACCCTGATCTTAATCATTTTTCTGATATAAAAAGGAAAATAAAAAAAACAGAAAAGGATATATAATCTTGTTTTTGTCTTTTTATTTACTTATCTATTTGTTTTTTTTTATTCCTGCAGTGCTAGCTTTGATGAGCATAAAATCTGAACTAATTGATCCTCGTGGGGTGCTTGATAATTGGGATGCAAATGCAGTTGATCCATGTAGCTGGGCTATGATTACTTGTTCAAGTGATAACGTTGTTAGTGGCATGTAATAGTTCTTCACCCTTTTAAGATTTTCTGAATTGTGTTTTTGAAAAAATTGTGGAAGAATTTGTTAGGATGTTCATTTATGTTATAATGGGTGATGTTTTTGCTCTGCAGAGGAACTCCTAGTCAGAATTTGTCAGGCTCTCTATCTCCAAGTATTGGGAATTTGACAAATCTTCAGTTTATGTAAGTGTAAATTATTAAAAATTTGTTTCAAGATTGGATTTTTATTTATTGTGTATGAGCAGCACTTCATCATTTTTTTTTCTCTTTTTCCCTGTTCTGTTGTTTTGCAGATTATTACAGAACAATAACATAACAGGACCAATCCCAGCTTCAATTGGAAATCTCGTAAATCTCAAAACACTTGATCTATCAGACAATTTCTTCACTGGCAGCCTTCCTAGTTCTTTAGGACAATTGAAAACTCTTCAATATATGTAAGCATTAAAAAAGCTCAGTTATTTTCAACCTTTTTTAACATTTGAAATTCATTTTTCGAAAAATTTTATAATCTTGTTCATGATTTGTTACCGAACTGTAACAGGAGGCTCAACAACAACAGTCTCTCTGGAGGGATTCCAATGTCACTAACTGACATGACAGAACTTTCTCTTATGTAATTCACTTATTCTTTGCTAGCAAATTTTTATGATTTCATACAACATTAAATGCAGTTACTCACTTATTAATTACCTTGAGTATATTTGTAATTATCTGTTTGTGTGACTTTAGGGACTTATCTTACAACAACTTGTCTGGCCCAGTGCCTAAGTTCCCTGCCAAAACATTCAAGTAAGATTTCTTAAATTTCAAAAAGGATTACATTCTTGATTATTTGTCCATGTTGTAAAATGGACATTAGAACATATGTAACATTTTTTTTTATATGTATTTTTTAGTCTTATTGGAAACCCGATGATATGTCTCACGGGCTCCGAGGCACCGTGTGCCGGCAGCGTGACACTGATGCCAACATCCATGAATATGAATACTTCTCAATGTAAGTTTAAGTTAATCTTGATCTTTAATTTTTTTTTTTCTTTTTTTTGTTTAAAAGTATCTTTATATTGATAGTTGATGTACTTATGTGTTCTCCCAACAGCTACTCTTTCTTCAACCAAATCAAAACGTCGCAATCTTGGTATCGCAATTGGATCGAGCCTTGGTTGCATTTGTCTACTTATCTTTGTATTCGGACTTTTCTTGTGGAGAAGATATGGACACGAGCAGCAAAAATTCTTCGATGTTTATGGTACGAACTAATGAGAAAAATTCCATGAAATTCAAATAATTTATGGAGTTCCTGTAAAAAATAATTAATAAAACGAATCTACTGCCTCCGTCTTAATTCAAACGTCGTTTTACAATTTCTACTATAAATTTCCAAATATATTCCTATCTATTTTAGGAATTATGCTACTTGTAGGAAATAGAAATGAGAAGTATACTATTTATTGTTGTTGTTGTTGTAGAAAAAAATTCCAAACGTCGTTGGGAATATACAGGGTTAAAAATTCTATGGAGCCATCGGATGGTTTTCTCCACCACTTAATGTATTGGCACCTGTCCAAAGTGTATTTATTGCAGGACATGTGTCAATACACTATTGGTAAATAAGTGTGGACGACTCCATAAGCTGAGCCATCCAATGGCTCCATAGCAAAATTGTATACTGGGTATGTTATTGTTGTTGCTGTATACTATTTATTGATTGTGTGTATAATGTGTATATGTCAAAAGCTCTTATTTTTCCATTTTTTTTTAGACCGTCAACATGAGGAAATCTCGGAAATCTCGCTCGGGAACTTGAGGAGGTTCCAATTAAGGGAACTTCAAATAGCAACAAACAACTTCAGCTCGAAGAACATTTTAGGAAAGGGCGGTTATGGTAATGTGTACAAGGGTCACTTGTCAGACGGCACGGCCGTGGCCGTGAAGCGGCTCAAGGACGGCAGCACGGCCTGCGGTGAGCGGCAGTTCCAAACGGAGGTGGAGATGATTAGCTTAGCTGTCCACCGTAACCTCCTAAGGCTGTACGGTTTTTGCATGACGGCCCACGAGAAGCTTCTCGTGTACCCTTACATGGCCAATGGCAGTGTTGCGACACGTCTCAAAGGTAACTTGAGCTTTTATTACATTGTTTCCAGTTATTTCATAGTTGCTCAATACGTATTTTAGTTTATAACTTATGGCTTATAGTTGAAAAGCTAGCTTATATGATAAAAATGTTTGGTAAAATTAGATGATAAGCTAGCTGAAATAAAAATTTCAACGAGTTTATTTGAAAAAGTAACCAAAAAAACTTAATTGAATACAAGAAGCTTATAAGCTAGTTTATTTGGTTACCAAACAGACTAGAGCTACTCTGCATACATTTTGAATGTTTGAGGATTTGCATGAGTTAAACTTATATACATATATTGCATCGGTTAATTTATTTTCCCTACCCTTAAAATCTTAAATCAATTTTTTCGTCTTGAGCAGCAAAACCGGTTTTGGGGTGGCCCGCGAGAAAGCGGATTGCATTGGGGGCCGCAAGGGGGCTTCTTTACCTGCACGAGCAATGCGACCCGAAGATAATCCACAGGGACGTGAAGGCAGCGAATATTCTGCTCGACGAGTGTTGTGAGGCTGTGGTGGGTGATTTTGGGCTGGCGAAGCTTCTGGACCACCAGGACTCGCACGTCACGACAGCTGTAAGGGGCACCGTGGGCCACATTGCACCCGAGTATCTCTCAACGGGCCAGTCGTCTGAGAAGACTGACGTGTTCGGTTTCGGGATTCTCCTACTCGAGCTAATCACGGGACAAAGGGCGTTGCAGTTTGGAAAATCGGCTAATCAGAAGGGGGCCGTTCTTGATTGGGTGAGCACCCGAACAAAAAATAAAAAACAATAAAAAACAATAAAATCAAGAAATGACCGATTTCTTGAAGATCGACGATCTTGTCAATCTTGTCGAAATCAAGAAAATCGACCATATCTATATGTATAGATATGTGATCTTTACCTATATTATGGTTTTTTTAGGTGAAGACACTACACCAAGAGAAGAAAATCGACGATCTTGTCGATAAGGACTTGACGAACAACTTTGACCGGATTGAGGTGGAGGAGATGGTCCAAGTGGCGCTTTTGTGCACTCAATATCTTCCCGGGATGAGGCCGAAAATGTCCGAAGTGGTTCGAATGCTCGAAGGGGATGGTCTTGCCGAGAGATGGGAGGCTTCGCAGAGATTGGATTCTCACAAGTTCAAGACACAAGAGCTTTCATTGTCCGAACGATATTCGGACCTCACGGATGATTCTTCGTTGCTTGCGCAAGCAATCGAACTATCTGGTCCTAGGTGAAACCGAAAATCGAAAACCGAAACGAAAGATCGAGGAACTTCTCTCAAAGGGAGAGGTTCATATAGAATGATAGTTGAAGGTTATGAAACTTGGAGCATGTTTTTGGTTATTAATATTATTTTATTTATATAGTAGCATTTTGGTACATAGTTTATGGTTTTTTTGTTAGACTAGTTGATTTGATTGTGATGAAAACATAACTGGTNCTTTCGTCCTTGTGTGTTTGAGTGACATTTTCTTTTTTTTGTGGTCATAAATAAGCATCATCAATTTATTTGAAATTGTATCTTGTTGCAATGTCTTAGGTATCATAAATAATTTTGTTATGGTAACAACGCGGGAAAGCAATATTTAAATTAATTTTAGAGAAAATATTTTGCTAAAATTATAATTGATTTTATAAATATTGAGCAACATGAGCTTTACGTAATAAGTCACAACTTGAAGCTTTTCTATATAAAATTTTTAACGTCATTACATTGTAAATATTGATCGTGATTGAAATATTAATTAAATTGCATGATCATTACAAACTATATAGTTAAATAATTCAAACTTAAATATTATTTAAATAAAAGGTTAATTAAAAGTAAATTATTTTAATTAAATAAATCAAACCAAAATACATATTGCAATTTATCAATAAAAAATATATGAGAATGTTTACATTATTATTAATACGTCTTCAACTGTTGGAAATTAGTATGATGTGACAATTTTCATATATCCTTCCCAACACTATAAAATAATAGGATTTTAAAAAAAAACAAAATTTAATTTAATTCTTTTAGTATTGTAGAAATAATATTTAATATAATTGTTTATTTATTAATATAATTTTGACATGTGTTCATTTAGCAAGAAGATATGGGCCTTTTTCAAATAAGAAGATGTGGGCCTTTTTCAAATTCTTTGGGCTGATACGTGTGCCTTATTAAACTATTTTAGATACGGCCCTGCAACCAATACACAGTTAAAAGAAATTTTGGAATTTTGAACCTAGTCTTGAATCTTGATGCATTTTTGTTTTTATTGTACTGGATGGCGTTAAAAACATTTATTTTAATTTTATAACCTTCAATTGGAAAATTCGAAATAATTCAAATATATATATATATATATATATTTATATGAAGAGGCATAAATTGATACACCGTAACGAAATCGTAAAATTAGAAATAATTCAAAAAATAAAGAGGCATAAATTGATACATATAAAACTGCTAAAAATACAAAAAGATCCTTTGAAACACGATTGTAATATAACTATAAACACTGAAAATTTAAAACATGAAAATATAAATTGAAATCCGTTATATTCGTCTTAAGCAACATTGAAATGAGCTAAAATAAAATTAATCAAATTTATAAGTGTAGTAAAACATCTAAATATAAAATCTTCATAATTTCCCTTTACCGTGTATATACAACCCAACCATTTTACTAATCCCTTATGTACAAACACCAATAATTTACATCTAACACAGCAAAAGATTCCTGTAAATGAGTCGAGCTGTTAAATAAACGAGCATGAAATTGAGCTTGAATTCAGCTCGTTTATCACTACTAACGAGCTGATCTCGAGCTTTCAAAAGCTGAATTGTAGAAAATTATATAAAAATTCTATTTTGAAGCCTTAACGAATCTTATCGAACCAAATCGAGCTCGATTTGTTAACCAAATAAATGAGCTGAACTCGAGCTTTATTTAGCCGAGCTCAAGTCGAACTGAATCAGACTCGTTTCGTTTAACATCACAAATTATTTACATTACAGACAAAAGATTCATCCCCTTTATTGTCTTTTTTCTTCCCCTGAAAAATAAAAAAGGGAAAATGTAACAAAACCACGCACTTAAAATGAAGGCACAATGCCATATCCAACTTCCCCAATTACAGATGAACAAAACATCTGATCAACTTCGACTTCAACACTTTCCGTTCTCTTTGCAAACCGGCCTTTGATCCGTGGCCTAGTTTCCGCATACGCCTTTCTCGATGCGTACCTAATCGTTTTCTCAAACTTCCTCGTCTTTTTCTTCTCTCTGTACCTCAACACCCTGGCCTCACGGTCCATTGGGCTGAGTTGGGCCGGAATTTGCATAATTGGGCCCGTGAATAGGTCGATGGCCCTATTCGGCGGCCCGCTCATCGTTGATTCGGGAACTGCACCCACATCCAACTGCGAGAGTGAAATTGGTAGTTCAACAAATTTTGAAGAACAATTTGAACTTAATTAGGTTAATAAAATTAATTAAACCTTAGCAAAGGAAGCTTTTGTGAATTTGAAGCTAGATTGGGTTTCTTTTTTTTTTTCAATTAATTATTTTATTAGTTAACTAAACCTCAAAGGTTAAATAATGTTTATTTTATTTTATTTTTCTCTAATTATTCATAAATTTAAACATTTGTGAACATACTATACTAGTGTATATTTATGATACCTATGGCTATCATACAACTATTATTAGCGTAATACATGGGTAATTACACACATGCTTGAGATTCTTACACATGAAACACTTGTTTTTCATTCATTTCGATCTATAAATCATAAAAGTCAAATTTATCTTGATCAAGTATTGACTGTATTGTATATATATATATATATATATATATATATATAAAAAAAAGAGTACAAACTCATAGTAAATCAGAAAAAACCAGAATATTTGTTATACTCAAACTACCATCCAAATATTATGAATATTTCAAGTTGTAAATCATAAAAACCAAAATAGTACTGTACTCAAATTTCCATATCCAAATATATTGAATATTTTAAATTTTTACCCTCAGAAAAAAATAAATAAATAAATAATGAGAGGAACTCACGGTATGCGGTATTGTGGCCTGATAACTATATCCCACGTTTGAAGACTCAAAATCTAACCCTAACTGTATAGGCACCACCCTATCACCGCCGCCAAAGCCGCCCTTATCCTGAACTGCGCCGCCGTTGGCGTATCCCTGCTGGCCGCTGTCGTTGAACTTGCCATCACCGGCCACGTGGCACGATCCAAAGTCGCCCAGGTCAAAATAATCGTCCACCGCCACCCCGCAAAACGCCGCCGAGTCGCCGCCGCCCTTGAGCGGGTTCAGGAGCAGCCACGACGCCACCTCGTCATCCTCCTCCGCCGGAGGGGATATCGGGACACGGTGGTGGCGGCGGGCGAGGGGGTTGACGGAGTGGATCTCGGCGTCGCAGGCGGCGCACAGTGAGGCGGCGTCGGCCTTGCAGAGGAAGGCGGCGGGGGTGCGCTCGCAGGCCTCGCAGAGCAGCGCCGGCCAGTCGCGGCTGGGGGAGAGGAGCCACCTGCTTCCGGAGGAATCTCCGCCGTGGAGGTCGCCGGAGGTGTTTTCGAGCCTTGGCATTTGATTTGGGGGCTGCGTATTTTTTTATTTTAGTATTATTTTTTTTTTTCGTTTTGCGCGTGTGAGAGTTTATAGCGTATGGAGGGGAAGGGGAGGAGAATCGAGGAGATGACACGTGGCATAAAAATAGTGGGTGTGAGAGGGTAGTACAGAAACTTGTGGCTGGCATAACTTGTGGTGGGTTTTTAGATTATGATGTTTTTTATTGAAGCGGTCAAATTAATTTGTTGTGCTAAGACTAAGATAGCAGGCTTTTGGATTTTAATTTTGATGTTGATTAAGAGGACTGATTTGAGTCCAAGTATACTAAGTTGCTACGTACCTTTTGGTGATTGGCACCAAAAGTGATGCATTCTAATTTAATTTAAGCTCATCATCAACACACATGATGATTATTATAAGTCAATTATTCCCATGTCATGATAAACTCATATAAAAGTGTGCATTTTTTGGCCTATTTTTTTTTAATCGAGCGTCCATAACACACATGATATCATGCATTATTTTAAAAGTTCATATTATTTTTTTTATTTTTCTATTTGATCTACTAAATAAAGCTATTGATATTCAAAATCTAATATACTTTTTGAATGAATTTATCGTAAATCAAAAATATTATCATACAGTTTCATTTTATGAAGAACGTGTTTTACATGTCTCGACTACTATCATCTCCTTTTGAATTATTTTTTTTTTATTTTTTTCAAGGTTCATGTTTGTTGTCATTCGTCACCATTTTTCGAAAGACAAAGTATCCATCCATGCACTAACCAAACCCGACATAAAAATTTAAAATTTATTTGATTCTTATGATCTCCATAAATGACTGACATTATTGTTTCATTGATCATACAAAGTTATAATAATTAGTGGGATATTTGGAAATTAATACAAATGGCTGTAGTGTGCAAAATCAATACGTATGTTGATATCAATCACTGTTGATATCAAATTCAGTAATCAGAATTAAGTATCGCAAGTCGGAATATATTATAGCAAATTACCGACTTCTTAAGAATTGCCGATTTTCGAAAGATTCAACTTCGACAGACAACTTCGACAGACAAAAAGGATCGAAACCGACATCCGAAACCGACGTAAACAAACCGACATCAAGTCAACCGACTACCATGAAGTTTGAGCATTCCAAACAGAAAGTAATCATTAGAAGCATCTGATTGGACCAACGAAACAAAAAGGCAATCATTGATGTTTCCCGCCGCCTCAAACAAAGCAGCTCAATATTGAATGCATCTCAATCCATTTCAAGGAAGAAGACAAAAGCCACCGTACTATAAATAGCAGAATTTATGATAGTACGAGGATCTGATCTTTTTCGATCACATGGTACACGAACTGAAGATAACCTCGGTTTTCAGCTTAAAACCGACTTCTGTACTCTTGTGAACATAATCAATAAAATCCAATTAAACCTTTATCTTCATTCTAAAAACATCAACTGTGTTTAATTTTAAGTTGCTAATTCAAGACAGCAACAGTTTGGCGCTAGAGGAAGGGCCCTTCCCTTTTCAATTGTTTGTCTTGTAAACAACACGCAAAGGATGTCGAATTCTGGACGAAATGAACGAAATCCAGATCCTGGGATCAATCGACACCCAACTCATACAACTGGAACTTCTGCTGTGCCATCTACATCAATTGATTATTCAGCCCTATTTCAAGATCCAGAGTTCTTGAAAAATTTGACTGATTTTATGGCACGAACAAGGATAGAATCAACCACAGCGGCTAATCCTCAAACTCGTTCAACTCCAGTTCCACGAAGAAATAATATTCCTGCAACATCACATGCAACTTCCCATCCACATACACATGAATTACAACATGATGCAACAACTCAAAATCGTGGGGTAGTTCCAGTACAAACTCGAGTTCCAGAACCAGCTCGATCAGAAGCAACTGCAGAAAGCCATTCTGGGCACCGACCACGACAGCCTACTCCGTCGTTACCAGAACTATCGCGACATGATCAGCCTTCTGATTTACGACATACTCTTGAACAAACCCATGCTCGTCGTGGGCAAAATGAGTTACGTCGTTTAATTGAAAGGAATCGTCAAAGACGCGAATCAGAAGAGTTAGAAATGTTGAGAAAAAGAATTGCTGAGTTGGAGACTTGTCAAGATGAATATGGAGGATCGCCACGACGAACTCCAATGATAGAAGAGGCCTATCAAGAGGTTGGAACTCCTTTAGCTCCTCATTTGACTAGAGAGCCTATCCCAACTAAAGTGAAAGTTCCGCAAATCGGCTTATATGATGGAACTTCCGATCCTGATGCACATCTCGGTCAGTACACATCTTGGATGGATCTTCATGGAGCGAATGAAGCACTCAGATGTCGAATGTTTTCCTTAACTTTAGGACCACGAGCTCAAAAATGGTATCATTCTTTATCTCGGTATTCAATCTCCACGTGGCAGCAGTTGAGGACAGCTTTTCGCTCTCATTTTATCGGGGCCCGAGTATCTTTAATTCCCAAAGAGTCAATCGCAAATATTGTACAAAAAGATGATGAAAGTGTGAAAGACTATATTACTCGGTTCAACGAACGCATACAAAATATGGAGCAATGCCATCCCGAAACGCTATTGGTCACAGCCATAGCCGGATTGAAGCCAAACTCGTTGTTCCGATGGAGTATATGTCAAAATAAACCGACTTCATTTCAGGACTTTCTAGCTCGAGCCCAACAGCATATTTTAGCCGAAGAATCAATGTCGGTTCCTAATATCGACTTTTCCTCGTTGAAGTCGGAAGTCGGGCAAGAATCAAAAAAGAAGAAAAATAAATTTTTCAAGCCAAATAAGTCTCGATTTGGGAATCCAAGAATCCCCGAAGTACAAGAAGCCAGAACGAAATATCTTAACGAAGTTAAATCTAGTTACCAGACGGTATTCTCCGCAGGAGCAGCAACAATATTTGAAGAATTAAAGGGGAAAGGAATTCTTCCCGATCCTCGACCTGTCAGAACACCTGAAGAAAAACTTGATAAAACGAGATATTGTTCATATCATAAGTCGGCAGGCCATAATACTGATGAATGTCTCGGTTTACTTTCTGCCCTGCTGCGACTTATTGGACACCCTCAAGTCCAATGATTTGCCAAGAATGTTGATTACAAACGAAAAGGAAGAATGCCTGATTTACCAGACGATGAAGACGATGAAGAACGTCCAATTAATCCGAAACGGGTGAGATCAAATGAGAAAGAAATATATATGACGAATCGAAGAGAAAAAGATTCGACTGAAATGACGTATCGAGGAGGATACTATAATCCAGACAACTCACACCATGTACCTCGGGTCAACAACAGCAGTAATGCAACGTTGGAATCACGGAGGCAAATAAAAGCGTATGCTCGAAAAGCTTTTAACTCGGGAAAAACAGTTTTAACTACCGACCTCCGAGATAAAATTAATGCTCGGAACAATTGCCCGATTACATTTAATGTTGATGATGCAAGTTATTTTGCTCACCCTCATGCTGATCCCTTAATAATCACGGCACCCATCTGCGGAATACCGATACATCGTATGTTGGTGGACACTGGAGCATATTCAAGTATTATGATGCTGCGTACATTTGAACAAATGGGAATTGATCCAGCCGAGTTAAAACCATGTAAGGATCAAGTACAAGGCTTTAATGGAACCATAACGACAACCCTAGGCGAAATCACTATGCCAATTCGGTTTGGAATCCCTGGACAAGCTTCCAAAGTTATTATGGAGACATTTAAGGTGATGGATCTCAAAAATCAATATAATGCCATCATTGGACGGACTGCTTTATATAAGCTTCGTGCAGCCGTATCAATATTTCACTATGCTCTGAAATTTCCTACTAATAATGGAGAAGGAACTCATTATGGAGACCAGTACGAAGCTCGCGGAATGGTATGGGTAAAACCCTGGCATGAACCCTGTATACCCGTACATATGATGGAGAATATCGAAGAAAGTCAAGAAAATTCAACACTCACCAACTCGGAATCATGTATTACCGAGATGGAACTTGATCCCGCGAAATTAAACAACGATGTGATTTGTGATCGTGGAAGACGTTCGGGAAAAGAGCCAATTAAAGAAGAAGACGTACTTGATCCTCGAATTCAATTTAAGGAGAAAAGCAAACTTGAACGAGCCGAACCATCAGAAGAGGTCGAAATAATATTCATCGACGATCCAGTTTGTCACAAGTCGCTGCAAATTGGGGCCAATCTTCAAGAACCAATACGAACTCGGCTCATTCAATTCCTCAAAGCTAATTCCGACGTATTTGCCTGGAAACACGAAGATATGAAAGGGATTGATCCAAAGGTCGCTTCTCATCGACTCAATTTAGATCCAACAATTAAACCAGTGGTCCAAAAACGACGCAAACTCGGTCCTGATCGACAGAAAGCTCTCGAAGAAGAAGTTCAAAAACTGGTTGACAACAAATTCATTCAAGAGACCAAATATCCGACTTGGGTGTCAAATCCTGTTCTCGTGAAAAAGAGTTCTGGCGCATGGCGACTTTGCATTGATTTTACCGACTTAAATAAAGCCTGTCCCAAAGACAGTTATCCTTTACCGCATATCGATTACATGGTGGATGCCACAGCTGGACATGAATTGATGAGTTTTATGGATGCATATTCAGGTTATAATCAAATTCCAATGGACCCTGAAGAGGCAGAACATACATCTTTTTATTCAGCCCGAGGATTATATTGTTACACTATGATGCCGTTCGGTCTTAAAAATGCTGGGGCCACGTATCAAAGGCTGGTTAATAAAATGTTCGCCAAACTCATCGGACATACCATGGAAGTTTACGTGGATGACATGCTGGTCAAGTCGGTTCACGCGGCCGATCACATTGATCACTTACAGGAAATGTTCAACATCTTGAGGGAATATTCAATGGTGCTTAACCCAAAGAAATGTACTTTCGGAGTCGGTTCTGGGAAATTCTTGGGATATGTTGTCACTCAACGGGGTATTGAAGCCAATCCAGTGAAAATAAAGGCA